TTTATTTTTTTAATTGCTAGGGATTGATCTCAGCCTGTGCAGGCTAAGCACATGCTCCTACCCCAGAGCAGCACTCCAACCCCAGTGGTACAGTGCTTGCTTACCAGGCACAAGGTCCTCTTTAGTTGCCAGCACAAAAGAATAAAAATAACCAAGATTAAGTTTTAAACATACCCAAAAAACAATTATTGAGTCTTTTATACTATCAACTTTGTGACTTAGAGAAAAGTAAGATAGAAGTTTAATAAATATGCATATTAAAGTATCTTTGTAAAAGATAAAGGGAATGCCTGGGGTTAAGATGGAATTTGGGTTTTTTTGTTTTTTCCTTTGGAATAAAATTAGAAGGAAGAACATAGCAAGCAAATGTGGACATTTTTAAAAGTTGATGGACTATAACTTATTATAAGGTAAATTTTCATTTGTCACAGTTTTTAGTTTTGGACTCTTCTCTCACTTTTCCGTACAGGACTCTATAGAACCCAGTGCTATAATTTTTAGTATATGGGGGCCGGCCAAATAGCTCAGCGGATTAAAGTGCCTGCAGCAGGTGCAGGGGGCCAGGGGGTTTGATTCCTGGGCCTGCTGTGCTGGCCCCGCCCCCGGGGTGTGCTGAGATGGCAATTGAGATTGGGCGTGGTGGCACACGCCTGTAATCCCAGCACTTGGGAGGCTGTAAACAGGATCACTATGAGTCCGATCTAGTAGTGAGACTCTGAGCACCCTTCCCTATAATTAAAAAAAAAGCATATTAAATTATAGTAGAACTAACTGAACAGAACAAAACTGGTAATGAAAACCTATGTGAGACATTAAAAATTTGCTTTACAAAACCAAATATGTGCATGATTTTGGATAGTTATAGCAGTATTTTCTCTTATGGCCCTTTTATCCTGTTCTTTCTATTCTTAAAGCAGTAAGGTCATGTTTTACCTTTCTGCAGCTTTCTAATAATTAGCAAAGATTGCCCAGGCCTCAAGAGGTAACAATGTCTGCTTCTAGAACCTCCAAAATTCAGGATGCTGACTGACTTTCTTGGTCTTGCCTTTTGTTTTGTCTTCAGCCGTCTCTGTGGTAGCCCTTGTCCAGCTGTGTGGCCTGATGTTATCAAACTGCCCTATTTCAACACCATGAAGCCAAAGAAACAATACAGGCGGCGTCTGCGAGAGGAATTCTCTTTGTGAGTTTGGCAAAAAAATGTACACCTCAATTGGTCTAGCTTTTTTCTGGCCTAAAGAAATAGTATTGTCAAAAAAGAAAAAAGAAAGAATATTGTCCCAACCTAATATGGTCCACACTTTACTTTTTTTAACAGTATATGAGTTTTACAGTAGTCCTTTACTCATCTAAGGACTTTAAGCAATAAAAAACTTTTATTTTGAATAGTACATAGATTTTCTTTTAGTCCTTTTGGCCTTCCCAAGGAAAAGAGGCTAGAATTTTTTGCTTCTTCTTTTTTTTTTTTAACCTGTATTGGAGCTTTGCTATGCTTTGCTTGTGTATCTTGTCTGTTTTTTGAGATAGGTGTCCCTGTGTAGTTCAGGCTTGTCTTGAACTCACTGTGGAGCTCAGGCTGGCCTCAAACTAACTGTCATCTTCCTGCCCCGGCTTCCTGAGTGCTGGGATTACAGGTGCATACCATTGTGCCTGGCTGCAGCATTGCTTAAATCCTGTAAGGGAGCATAGTTGCTCATTCACATTAGCCAACTTCCAACCCCTTTTGCTCAGAATTACATGGAGCTGGAAATTTAGAGTCTTTTTGATATAAAGTTACAAGTTTAAAAACTATAGGGCCATGCAAGTGTAGTGTACACCACACCAGAGTAAGTGCTGGTGGCTACATATAACAGTATCCCATCACCCTAGGAGGCTGAACCGAGATCACAGGTCCAAGGCCAATCTGGGCAAATGAGCAACTTGTAAGAGCTTTTCTCAAAAGATTATTGAAAAAGGGTTGAAGGGGCTGGTGAGATAGCTCAGCAGACTAAAATGCCTGCTTAGGCAATCACAGGGACCATAGTTCAATCTCCAGCACCACATGCCACAGAGTCCAGGCATGGTTGCACATGCTTGTAATCCCAGCACTGGGGAAGCTAAAAGCAGGAGGATCACCATGAGTCGGAGCTACATCGTGAGACCCTGTAACAACCAAATACATTTAAAAAAAAAAAAAAGTGGTGGGGGTTTGAGAGTGTAGCTTAGTATACAGGCCCCGGGTTTAGTCCCCAGTACACTGTAGCGTCTTTGTGAACTTAGCATTTCTTTTTCTTTTCACAGCATTCCTTCAGCAGCACTTGATTTATTGGATCACATGCTGACACTGGATCCTAGCAAGCGCTGTACAGCGGAACAGACCCTACAGAGCGACTTCCTTAGAGATGTGGAGCTCAGCAAGATGGCTCCGCCAGAGTAAGTGCTGGTGGCTATGGAGGGACCCTAAACCTCCACTAAGACTCAAAATAACAGTTTAAAAGAATTATAAATAACTAAATCTCAAATGAAGGCATGTCCTTGAATATTATGGTTGATAGGAAAGTTCATTTTATTATTTTGAACAGTTGATATGGCTATAATTTTTGTTATAATTTGACTAATCTTTTGTCTCTGATCCCCTGCCTATAGCCACAATCTCTTTTTTTTTCCCCACAACCTCTTTGAAAGTGTTCTTGCTTTTTCTCTTACCTATTCCATCAGATTAAGTCACTTGGATCGGTGGTAACCATTATTTTCTCAGTAGTAATTCTAAATAGTTTTGTATCACTGTCAACTCATTGGATTTTGACATAAAAAGTAAGGTCTTTGTATCACTTCCTTCTTTTTTTTTGTTCAGAATTGGGGATTGAA